AGAGTGTGAATTTTCATGTATTTTGAGCAAAAATGCACACTTAGATGTGGCAATATGTTTGTGGTGACACTGCTATTGCACTAGTAAGTTGCAAGATTCATTTCACGTACATTGCTTTAAGTTTATTTAATTTAGATTAACAAAAGCCATCATAGTATTAGGATAATCAAAACTGTATAAATAACTGAAGCTTCTTTTGAATAAATCAATTTTTGAATAGACAAAGAGTAGAATACATTTTCCTGCAATCTAGGACAAAATGTTGTGTATAAAAGTTTCAGTAACTGTCCATGGACAGTCTTTGCTGTAAATGAATGTTTTTGAATAACACCAGTAATCTGAAGGTAATGAAAGCAGTTTATGCAAGGTGCAATAAACAGCCATTGTTGTGTCTACAGAACATTACTTTATGCTACTGTGAAGATTATGTCTTTTTAGTCTTCCATCTGTTTTGAAAAAAAATATAATTCAGAGGCCACTAGTCTGAAAGAAACAAGGACAAGATAATAACTAGAGACACAATTAATCCCTGTGCTTTGGAATAGGACAAATTGTTACAACAATCACAGAGAAAGCTGTACAGAGGTTACAGGAAGGCAAGTTAATGCAATGCTTAAAAAAGGGAACAAAGAGTGTTAGAAAGAGCTAAATTACTAAAGCAAAGAAATGAAAATACAGCTTAATAAGGAACAAATGTTGCATGCTGTGTATTAACAGTGGAATGCTTGCAGAAAATATGGAAAAGTCTTTGTTTACTCAACCCTGACTCATGGGCAAAGGTTTACATAAACTGAGCTTCTCTCCTGATCACAGGTATGTGAGAAGTCCTGTGGGGATGGGTAGGCAATAGGGCTTCTCACTCACTTGAAATCAGACAAATGTTGGGATTCAGTCACTCGGGGTACAAACTTGGCTGCATAATTGTCAGCAGAAAGCTCCCATTTTATCAGTGGGGCCAAGATGCCTCTACCGCAGCAGGCTCCAGCTGCATTGCCAGCGCCGGTTGCTGCAGGAGCAGCAGAGTGCTGCAGCCAGGACCTGTGGCTGGATCTCAGCCGGGGCTCTGCACCTTCCTGAGCTGCTTCTGGGGCTCCCCTTCACTGACAGGAATGAGCTTCTGTCTTATGTGCAAAGGAGGAAATGTTAGCAATAAAGTCCTGATTCATTCAAGTCCTCTGAATATACAGAGCAGATCCTGCTTTCAGTCATGCGCTTTCAACCTCATTGAAGTTGAGGTTGTCTTGAATCTCATCAGGACTTTTTGAAGCCTGCATCACTTCTGGAAATCCAGAGAGCCTTTGGGATGTTAAGGCCAGGACCAAGAAAGCAGAGGTTTATATAGTGGGACATCAGAGTGGGGAAGAGAAAAATGCACCTAGAAAGGACCAGAGCAGGTGATGTAAACCCTTATTACAGTCTACAGCAATTTAATGAAAGTAATTCAGAATAACTAAATACCTGAGGTGGAACCAAGAGGCAGCTGACCCAGCCTGAATGAGAACTATATTGCAGTTGACCCTATGGCACCACTAAATTACCCTCCTCAAGGGGAAGGAATCAAAGTTCCATGTTGTTGTGGTTTTGGTTTTTTTCCTGCTTTAAAAAAAGTTTTAATAATTCAAAGAAATGTCTACTGTTAGTGAATGTGCATGGTAAATACTCGATGGATTGAATTCATTCTCCTCTTTGTGTGCTGACATCCTTCTTGCTGCATAGGGAGATTCTACAGATGTACAGAAATGCTGCACAGGATGGGATGTTTCTTCATGGCATTTCCGTGTGCTTTAAATCTCTGAAGAGTTTTCTGTGTGTGTGCTTTATGTAGAGTCGTTAAATACAAAAACAAACTTATTCACAAACCAGCTTTGATCTAGGCTTCCTGTGATTTATCTGGGCTGCCTATAGCATGCACTGAAATCCTACCTGATTGTTATTAGCTCCCCAAATATTTATATTGCTCCAGATAATCAATGCTTATCACAGCCAATACAGACATTACGAGTTCCTCAAAGAAAGGCACAGTCAGCATAATAGCATTTTAATTATTGCAGCATATGTTCTCAAATAAGTCTTTTCTTTCCAGTATCAATTGAACAGAGTAACTATACACATCTTATTACTAGATGATGTTAAAAACATTATACATGTAAATTACGGCTTTTCCCACTAAGTGTGAGAAGCAATAATGCAATGTCTTGGAGGTATTAATGTTCACTTAATTGAAATCATGTTGCTAGTGCTGTTTTCTGTTCTCATTCCCTTGCGTTTGCACTCTCTACAGAATGTTTTTCATTCAACTGCTGTGTAAAACAAATTTGCTTGTGGGGGTTTGGTGATATAAAGTATCTGACTGGCACCAGTGCATTAGTTATTCTACATGTAACTGAAAACATAAATTCAGTATTTGGAGAAGTAGAGATAGCAGCATCTGCTGGTTCAGGAGATGCAGATGACATGTTTTTGGTTATCAAGTGTGCTGCAAGTTCATGGGGAAGTTCAGTGGAGAACACGCTGAGCCCTTCTGTCCCTCAGCTTTCCAACTTTATATATCTCTTACACCCAGCACCATTCTGAGGTTCTGCAAAAGGAAGTGCAATGCTTTTTTCTTTTTAAAAAAGATATTTCAGAGAAAATAGTATTATTTACTTTGTAAGGAAAACTAAATATTCATCTGTCTCCCAAGAGAATCTAGGCTAGGAACCCTACGAAAATACTTCTTTAGGCAGCACAGTCATGCTTTGAAAAGGGGAATTGCTCTTTATCTCTTTATAAAAGTACTTGCTGCTCATGCAAGATATTAGGGACTCAGTTGTGAATCAGAATTCTGATTCTGTCTTCTGGATAGATACAAATTGGTGTGAGGATTTTTAATGTCTTAGCTACCTAAAACTTCAACTCTCACCTAAAGAAAACCTAACCACTAAATTAAAGTGAAAATTATTTTAGAAGTGGTTTAGCATATTTCTTTTATTACTGTTCTCAAATCCGTAATTTTTTTTCTCTGATGTATACAGAATATACATACACGTACATATATGCACCCACATGCAGACATACAAAAGTCTGCTGAAATTCTTTGTTTTTGCAACTCACACTGAGTACAATTATCAAAGTTTTTCCTGAAAATCCCTGTTCCTGAGGTCATTGGATTAATTCAAAATTTCAGCTTCTGTTTGAAATACAGACTTTCTGGAACCTCAAAACTACCTGGTAAGTCTGGACCTTTCATGACTGACTCAAAAAGCTGAAACATAACAATAGTAAGTTATCTGTATATTTAGAAGGAGAGAATAATTTGGATAAACAGTTATTTGAAAGTTTATAATGCATCTGAATGAGACTTCTATTTTCTTTTGCAGGCTTACAGACATACCAGACATACAATTTCACAAATCATGCAATATAGTTAATGTAGGTCCTCACAGCCTATATTTCTAGTAATGCTACCTGTGAAAGGTGTGCTTCTTCTGCTGGAAAATATATGTCATCTTTATTGTTACTTACTAGAATCATAGAATTATTTGGATTGGAAAAGACCTTTTAGATCATTGAGTTCAACCATAAATGAAGAATTTGGCTGAGCATAGTGGGTTTTTTTGAAGGAACACTTTGCTTTTTCTGATTTTTTTTGTGCCCCCCCGCCCCCGGTATTTTTTGTAGTTTTTTGTTGTTGTTTTTTACTTTCTAGATTCAAAGTGGTGGCTTGAGCTCACTTATATGGTGTTGTTAGATCAATGATCGCCATCGCAGGACTGCAAACTGAAAAGCAGGCCAAAGTTAGGTTGATTTAACTTAGAATTGAATGTAAACACTTGTTCCTAAAAAACAATTGTACATAAGTGGGTAATTTTCAATGCAGTGAATAAACTTTATATTATTTCATAATTCATTTGGTTGTTTCTGTACAACAACTCTGCTGAGGACTCTGACAAATGTGATACTCATGCTGTGTGAATGTCTCATTCATGTGCAAACTGTACCAATTCAGGATAACATCCAGTGGGAATAAAGCACTATCTGCTGACCTGTAAACATAAAGGGAAAAGAAAATTGGGAAAAAAAAAAGGACCATATTGGTAATGCACATTCCATTTTCAGATTAAGGAAATAGTCACTGGAAATAGTTGTGGTTGAGCAGACTCCTCCTCTGCTGATTTCTATTAGAAATGTGTGAATTGTTTCCTTTACACCACTGAAATGTAAAAAAAGGGTTGTAATGCAGACAGGTAAATTCATGGTAACAACCCCTATGTTAATGTGCAGAGGTGTACTTGGGAGCTGTATCCTTGTGGCCTGGTCTGTTGCATGGATCTCTGAGGACAAAAAAATATCAGGAGCTTCAGTGCCACTTGCACGCACTAAAAGGGCAGTGGATTAAAAGCTGATCCACTGTTTTCCTTCAGCATATATTGAGTCTTTTCAAGTAAAGTTTTAGGTCACTTCTGGGGCATCATTGCAGGTAAATGAGCACTGTGTTTATTAGTCTCTCTGGTAGATAAGGAGGTTTCAGTTTTAATGACTGCAAGATCAAATATTTGACAAAAAGTGAAAAGCAAAGACCGGACGTATATATTCTAAAGTGAAAGAGGGAGGAGAATAATGAGTTTGAAAGGAATAAAACATAGGCTGGTTTGTGGAAAAGAATGCTACAAAGGTCTCTGTGTGAATCTTTGGTTCCTGGAGTTTCTGCCAATTCCTTTTATTACTATTTCAAGTAACCAGGTACATATGGCATGTTTGTAAGTAAAGCAGTCAATGAAGTTAGTTACACCTCTGCATTTATTACCCTACCCCTGAGTATTATTAACTTTTACATTCCCCATAAAATATAATTTATCACTTAAATAATTTGCTTTGTGTCAGGGTTCAGTGTGCTCCAGTGCTTTCCTGCTCATTAAATGAGATATTTTTACTTAATGAGCCCAGAATGTCCTTTGCATGTAACATTAGAATTGATTTCAAACACCCCATTTTTCTAACATATTTGTATGTAATTTCAGAATGTGGACTTCATTCCCCAGTCTTACTCTGAAGAAAAAAGAGCTACAAAGAATAATGACCCATGAACTCTGAAGAGGCACACAGTAAGTATGTGTGAATATTTTAAAAAAACCCTATTATCTGCCTGCACTTTGCATTCTTTCATCTAGTTTGAAAGTCTGAGTTACTATTTGAGCCTGATGCTGCAGTTATTACAAAACATAATACTCCATTAGGAAGGCATTTTTAGAAGGGACTGCAAGATATGTATTTCCATGAAATTAACAGCATTTAAAAATAACCCCACACTTAGATGTATGTGTGTGATGCCCTGATTGATACAGCAGACAGCTAGTCTTTCCAATGTACACAGTTCACATATAAAATATATATTTATAGGATAAATAAACATCATAGAACTCTAACAATGTACACCTAATGGGGATCTGGCTCATCTCTTTGCAATTGCAAATAATCACTTTGCAATTATTTAATAAAATCTGAGTAGAGAAACCCTCTGTTGTGCAGTAAATCATTTGCTCATAATAATCACTGGAACCAAAAACCAGCCCAAACCTCTGAGCTATCTCAGCAATTCCAGGATAAACACTGTGCCGCCACACTTTAAATGGAATTTTGCCACCAGCTAGGTTTCAAGGAGTCAGTGAGTAGTATATGATGGATTCACAAGTGGGTGTTCATTTGAGTCCATTATAACAAATGTGACCATCTGTGCATCAGCTGTACACCACTGACATGCAGGGTGCGAGTCTGATCAGTCAGGTGCTCAGGATCTATGGCAATTTGCATGGCATGAAACACTCAGTAAAGGACAGGAAAGCTGAAATTCAATCCCATAAAAATGCTAATATTGTAGTATAGGTTTTTTTCTTCTGAGTGAAAAAATATTAATTCATGAAATAAGCAAAAATATATTTAACAGAGCTTACAACTTTTTTTCAGAGTGTATTTGGCCATCATTAAATGTCATATTTTCCCATGGTTGCCTTGTTTCACCTGATTAAGAGCTTGGGCCTCTCATTCTGTTTGCTGCTCTGGGTGGGTTCCTTGGCTGATGTGTGTTTCCTACGAGGCACATGGAGCCATGTACCTGTGGTGCAAGTGTTTATTGTGGGCTGTGCACACGGTGGGCAAAGGAGCACGAGAAGTGGGTAGGCAGCCTGTGCCTTGGTGTAGCAGCCTTCCTTGACACACTGTCATGTTTGCCAAGGGAAATCTCAAAATCCTCATCAGACTGACAGAACCAGCGTTATTTAAAAAAAAATTAAATTAAATAGTGCAAGAATGTTTCATGAGACTGGGTCATGCCTTGTAGGTCAAGGAGAAAAAGAACATTTCCCTGGTTGTGGCAAGGAGAAAAAGAGAACATTTCCCTGATTGTGACAATAGGAGTTAACAGTAGTGTGATTATCCATACAAGTGTGGATGGATAATGGACCTCACTGTGAAATGTGAGGTCTTCATTGTTGCCATACAGGCAGAGAAAAACAAATGAAAAATTGGAATCAACTGTTGATTATAATTTAGTGATGGGTGAATACACCCAGGTTATTTATTAAGGCCATCTCATCATTGAATAGGCTACTAAGTAACATAATAGCTCTGATACAGATTGGGGAAACAATGTCATTGAACATGTAAATTATGAGGAAATGTCTTCTCTTGCTGTTACCCATCAGAGGGTGCATCACATACCCCTAGGAAATCAGTTTATTTTGCTTTTCCTTACAGTCCTTCATCATTTGTCCATTTGAGCTGCAGACAGTTAAGGTTTGTGCTCAAGCTGAATGTGCTTTTCTTTTTAATATTTTTTCACTGTAAAATGAAAAGGAAGAGTGTTGGTGTTTTGTTTTGTGCTTTATTTTGGTTATGCTCTCTCTCCTTCCTCCCCCCATTCCCCAATAAAAAATTATGTTATTATTTGCTCCAGGAAAATAGTGAAATATCACTTTAGATACTGAAGTTCGTAATATTGTAGCATATTTATAAGGTCTGATGAGTTCTTAGATGGTATGAGACTTTTTTCCCTTCTGATTCTACAACAGCAGTAGACCTGGCCTTCATTTCATTTTTTAAGGATAGACATGAGATATTTTAAATTTCATTTGAATTACTTTTCTAGTAATAATAATTATAACTGATTGTTATGTTTCAACTTCTAATGTCAAAGAATTTATTTTAAATGAAAAGTAAGTGATTTCAGTAAAATTTCTATAAAATATCTAGCTAAAATAATTAATTTTTAAAATAAATTTTTATCTTCTGCACTGTGAATGTTTAGTTACTCTGGACGAATAATAGTTTGGTTGTTATATCATATAAATCCTGGTGATGTCTCAATGTGTGCAGAAAGGAAAATGTGATGCACCTACTTGAGAAATTTCTATGATGGATCAGCAAGTCATTTGGGACTGTATTGCTTAGAGTTGAGACTGGACCTATTGGAGGTGCAAAAATGGAGCTTTCTCCCCTTTAGTGTGTGCCACTCCCGGAAACATATTATAATTTAAGAAAATTCAGGTAGATCAGAGAGAAGTTGAGCCTGTAATATTTCCTTTATTCCTGTAATTGACAGTTTGCATTCTATTAGTATGTATACAGCTGACCTTGGCACGGGTATTAGGAAATAATTCTTTTCATCAGGGAGTTGCCAAGGCTGTCTTGTGGTTGCTGTTGTTCTAAATGCTAAGCCTGGAGAAGAGCACAGTGTGTTGTGGAAAGTCTCTGGCCAGCAGTCACATGTGAAGTGTTGCAGAGCTGGTCACTGGCACCAATGAAAAGGCACCAGCAGGTGCCTGCAGGCCAGCTGAAGGGTGCTCATGTGGGGCACCTCAAGAAAGTGAGGAGCACAGCAACCTAAGGTCATACATTGATTTTAGTCTGATATTTGAGACCCTTGTCTGTGACTAGAAATGGTTGAAGAAGGAATAGATGGATGGATACAAGTGTAATTTAAGGGATAAGGGACACTGCTCTACTGGGCTTCCATCACAGGATCCATTATATGCATCTGAAGCAGCAAATTTTATTTAGATTTTTAAAATAAATTATTTGTATTTGAGAAATAATCTGTGCAGTTTCAAGAGAGTTTGAGATAATGGTGCTTATCAGATTCCTTTTGGGAATGTCAGTAAGTATTTTATAGCTAGTTTCAGTTAACATAAACTTTCCATAAATCAGATACATAACTTTTTACATGTAGACTAAGGCCAAAGGTTTTCTTCACTCTTTAAGAGCACTGACATTAAATTTTTTATTAGTACCCGTGATGAATAATGCACTTGACTTCAGTTTTGACAGTAGTATTGAGAGAAACTACTGCATATTTCTTGCAGAAGTACCTAAATAGACAAGTTTAATGCTGAATAAAAGTTTATCTTTCTTTTCAATGAATTAATTCTTTGCTCAGTTCGTTACCTCCTGACAACTGCAGCCTTTCTTGCATCATCTCTGTGTTGCTGCCGTCATATTTGTGTTCATGGCTGGCTTTCAAGCTATCATTTCTTTGTGTCTTGGGGCTGTGTGGCTTGGTTTACAAAGGGGTTCTGGATCTAATATTGCCACTGCCATCCACTTTGCCACTACTGTGTATACTTGCAGCTGTCCAGAAGCTCTTGCAGAGAAATGTAAACTGTTATTCTTAAACATAAACACAAATTTTCATATTACATACTATTGGCCACTGTGCCCAAGTTCATCTGCAGTTATTTGGGCACTCTCCTGCTTTTGTAGCTCAGATTCTTCACACTTTTCTATTTGAGTCCTGTGATGCTTTGACTTCTCTGCTATGTTTGGGATGCTCCCATATTGTTTTCAATTTGGCTGGAGTAGTTTGCTTGCTTGCAAAATCCCAGGCTTTATTTTAGATCTTTGATGCGCTCTTTCCAAGTGTTTTGATACACTCTGAGTGTTTTATACCAAATCCAAAGAACCATCCAGCTTTCTACCAGGAAGCTAACCCTTCCCTTCATATTGTGAGGTTTATTGCAGTTCAGATCAGTTAAAGGCTTCTCTGTGATTTCTCTCTCCTTTTCTATTGCTTGCTTGAAATTGAGTTTCTTGGGTTTTCTTTTTTTCTTTGCATGGGAGTATTTTACATGTAGCCTGATTTATATCTCCTTCTAACCACTGCAAGTCTTAAATGAAAATCAAATAGTTGCTGAAAGATGTGAGTGACACAGGGCAGATTTTCTTTCCATCCTGTGTTCCTGGGAAGTTAAACTGCAGTAAGAAATGCTAAGCAGTACAGAACTTTCATCAGAACTTCTGAATTTTCTGAGCAGTCATCTGAAAATTGTAACTTAAAGTAAATAAAACCCCTGTAAATGAAACTTGTTCTGATGTTCATGAATCTAACTTTGCTATTTTGCAAGTCTCCTTCTTTTACATGTGAAGTGCAAAATAATTCTATGAGGAAAATGAGCTTGAATCTCATTAGACATCATCCTGTATTAATGGAACTGGTTCACTCATATTTTATTCATTAAATAATATTTGTCAATGTGTTTTTCTATTTTAAACTCTTACTGTAAAAGAGAGCATTATCACCTCAAAGTATTTGTTTCCAAGAGTGAATGCCAATATTATCCAGTGACGCCATATTCTCCTAATTATGCTGAGGGTTTCTTTCCTAACAGCATTTATTTTCGGGTGTCAACAATACTTCAGTTAAATGTAGTGTAAAGTGCACTTATTTAGCAAACTTGTCCTTCAGAAAAGGTTTTTTTTGTCTTTAAAATACCACTAGATTGTTTCTTTCTGTCAGTGCATGATACAATAGAAATCTTAAATCAATAACACTTCTTACTCCTATGCAATTGATGCATAACATCCTTCTTCACACACAGGTTTAATGTGTTGTAAATTAATTATCTGGAATGCGTAGAGGGTCAATGGACCTTGGTATGACCAGGATGTAATGTTAAAGTGTTCCATTTCCTTCCACCCTTCTCAGCTCTCTTGCCGACTTCTCTCTCTGTGTCAGCTCTGCCATCTTCTGCACTTTGGTCCCTTAAGTGTTGTTAATGCCCCTTGAGGGCTTGATCGATAGGAAAAATTTGTTTTACCATAAATTTGTCCAACA